CCTTCCCCACCTCCTTTTCCGGCTCCTCCTCCATATCCGCCACCGGCAACACCGCCAGAGCCTCCACCGCCTCCACTTCCTCCACCACCACCATGACCACCGCCAGCTGCTCCATATCCCCCACCTGCACCTTCACCTCCACCAGCTCCTCCTCCGTAACCACCTACGCCATGTGCCCCCGCGCCTCCGTATCCTCCACCTCCACCTGAACCTCCACCACCTCCATAACCTCCTCCCGTAACACCAATCGAACCATGGACATCATCGCCAATGCCGTGACCTATACTCAAGAGTAGAGTTCTTGCAGCGGAGCAAATGCCTACACTGAACAGCGCAAAGAAAAGAATGCTGAGAAGTTTGGAAGTAGCCATTCGATATGTAGAAAGTGTTTAAATCCCACACTGACGAGGTTTCAACATTGATGAGATGGGTATATATAGGAGTTGTAGTGGGCCATTTCATTGTAAAATAACATTTTATGTTTTTCCACCTTCTACAATCACCTTTACCTTCCACCTTTGCAATATTCAGAACATTCACATATTAATAATTTATTAAAAAATTACTGTATATTATATAAACACTACTTAAGATTGCATAACTCCATATTATAAAATTATAATATTGAATTTTAGAGGAAAAGTATTTTTATAAGAACTAAGATTAAATATGTTTTTAAATATGAACTAAAAGCACATTACATGTAATTATATATATAGACAATTTAATATATCAAACACTTCATTAATACTTTTATTTTTATTTATTTTTATGACCATGTATCACTTGCCATATTTATAATTTTTTTTCTCTCATTGTCTCATGTTAAATATGCCATAATGTGTTTTTTTAATGATTAAATTTGTTGTGGTCCCAAGGACATGAGGAGAATAGAATTTTAAGGTGTTGTAATACATGTACATATACACTAAACACTACTACATCCAGTAGTGTGCTTTTGCTGTCACCCATTATTCTCATTAGGCTCATCATCATCATCATCATGTTCACATTTAAATCTAATTTCTACTATCACATAGAGCACTTATTTCGTATTTTTATGGATTTCCGACTCATTCACATATATCATGTTCACACTTAGCACCATGTTCCTTCAAAAGGAAATATCATTTTAACAATCTTCACCACCGTATCTATGTTTTTAGCACGTTAATCTTTTAATGGAAATATTGGAAACTTGAGGGATAAACTAGTATTCTAGTTCTTAATAAGTAGTTGCTGAATACAAATGAAAGAAGAAGAGTGAAGAAAATGGCATATGGGAGTCTCCAATTCTGAGAGATTTAGTTTACACTATTTTCTTGTCTCTTATTTTCATTCCTGTTATGTTTTTCTGATCTTTAAGACAAGGACGAAACAAAAGGAAAACGTTGTATTTGCAATACTTTCCACAGTTCCAATTAAATATCGGACAACAATTACCTACGAAAATAGTAATTTTTTGAAAAAGGTTTGTTAATATTATTCATCAATTTTGATTCGTCAAAAATTCTTTTTACTATGAAAACATTTTCGATTTTTCTTATGATGTTGGAAGCACTTCAATGATTTTGGTAGCTAAAGTGGCGTCCAACCCAGCATTCATCAAGGAAATTTCTTACATCATTCACAACACTTCACAACTTCAACTACTTGTTTATTTAACATTTAAAATTTTGTATATTCTGTTTTTCTTTTTTCTGTGGAAGACATTAAGCAAGTAATTTTTTTCTCTCCAATGATGTCGGCACTACGACATAGACAATAAAGAGAGTAATATGGAAAACGCGACTCATTATTTTATGAATTATAAACAACTTAATTAAGAGAAATTTAGTAATTTTGCCTATGCCTAAGTAAAGATAATACATAATTGAAATGTTTTTTTCAAAAGAAGTTTAATAATTATTCATTTTCTCAATAATAAATATATTATTAATATATATATATATATATATATATATATATATATTATTAAATATTTTTAATGGATATAAGTTTATAGGAATTTTATTTTGGACACATTTACAATTTTAAAAATTCACTCCTTTAATACACCAAATTAAATCAGTTTCTCGGTTTTCAAATTGCTGTCAATTATAAAAAATAATCATTGTTATATTCTTTGGTTGCAGTAGTGCTAGACTCAAAATAAAAACATATATAACATAAATTCACTAAAACCCAACTAATTATACCATTTCACATCATTTCTTCCTTTCTCAATATGATCAAATTCATTTTAAAATATTATAATTTTAATTCCTTAAGTATACTAAAAAATGCATTCCAAAGTCATCAATTTAGATTGCAAAATAAAGACTACATATCAGTTTCTCATTTCTCACAAACTTCAAATATTATGTGTTAACACATAAGCATATCATTTGATACCAATTCAATTAAAATCAAAATTTCACTTGATCAAATTTCCAATTTCATCATTCTTATACAATTTCAGACAGAATAATGTCATCATGCACAAAGTAAGTTTTATCATATAGGATTCGACATACCATTACATGCATTTCCAATTTAACTACAAATACACCTTGATGTGTGACTTTAAAGGAAGAGACAAATTATTCCTTAAACGTCATGCCTTTGTCAAGGAGAAGGAGAATTTGGTAGTCTAATATTCACATCTATAATTGTATTTTTTGTTCTCAAGTATAATGTGATTGGATTGTTTTATTAGAATTTATAGAGAATTGAGATCGACTTTTAGTTGAATAAAAATGTGTAAATCACCTCGCAGAAAAAAAAAATGACATTTATGTCAATGTTGAGGTTAAAAATTAGGAGTAAATTTCTTACTTTTATTGTAATATGGTTTCTTTTATTATAATATTTGTTGGGCTGTTACGAAAGAAAATATTAAGGAGAATTTACACCAATAAACTATGAATAAATTATATAAGAGATCAATATACTATTTTTAATTTAGAATCTTAATCATGCGTTTGAATAGTAAATTTCGCAATTAAATATCAAATGAGTGTTAATAATTTAAAAATATTAGCATTGATGATTGGTTTAAGTAATTCTTTAGTATATTATTATTTTATTAATGTTTGTCAAGATTTTGTAATTGATATTGATGAAACCTTTTCTTGATTGACATCGACCACAATTACTTTTAGTTGATGTTGATTACAGTATTTAGGTTGACATTGATTGAAACTATTTTTACGAGATTATTGGCTGAGGTTTTTGTTGACTTTTCAATTAATGTTGGTTCAAAATTTTGTCCAAATTACGTTCCGTACATAATCTTAGTTAATGTTTGTTGAAAGTTTTCTCAATAAACATTTGAAAAAAAATTCTAACAATTTACTCAAAAGAATAACATTAGCATAAATAATAAAAAGATAATAATTGCAAAAATTGAAAAAAATAACCTTGATAGACATCTATAAAACCAATTTAGTTCACATGAAAATAGTCCCCTTTCCCCAAAAAAAAAAAATAACAAAAGAAATCATAATTAATATTGAGTGAGAAATAACATTGATTTACAACAAGAAAAGAATTTCATTTCAATAGTTTAAATAAAAATACCTCTTTTAACATCAATAAAACAAACCCAAGTTTACATCATATTATAAGAAAGATACTGTATTATAAACTAAAATAAAATTCATCAATAAATTCTATTTGAAGTTGAAAATTTTTAGAATTTAATTATCAATAAATTTTAAAGTTTTAATGATTAATTAATATATCTATTAATAATGCATATGTTAATAAAACTTATTGATAAAATTTGTTAATAATTAAGAATTTTTATTATTGATAATTATTTTTATCGGTAAAATGAGAATCAAAATTTCTACTTTTACTATCACCATGTGATAAAATCTAAAGATAAATGCATCAATAATAATTTTCTAAAATTTGCGATAAATTTATTAGTTATTGATATTTTTGAAGATTTGTCCAGCAATATGTCAACATTTAAATTTTAAAAATTCGTAATCAAATTTATCAATAATTTTATTGGTAAATTTGTTGTTGAA